CGTCGTCGCCGTCGTCGTCCTTTGTCTTTCCTCGTCGTCGTCGTCGTCGTCTTGGCGTCGTCGTCGTTTCCGTAGTCGTTGTCGCCGTGGTCGTCTTTCCTCGTCGTTGTCGTTGGCGTTTCGCCGTTGTCCCTCCTATTTCGTCGCCGCCGTCGTCGTCGTCGTCGTTTTCCCTCCTCCCTCGTCGTTGTCGTCGTCGGCGTCGCCGTCCTCCCTCCTTTTTCGTCGTTCGCGTCGTCGCCGTCCTCCATCCTCCCTCGTCGTTGTCGTCGTTGTCGCCGTCGTCATCCTCCCTCCTCCCTCGCCGTCGTCGCCTTCGTTGGCGACGTTGTCGGCGTCGTCGTCGTCGTCGGCGTTGTCATCGTCGTTGTTGTCGTTGTCGACGTCGGCGTCGTTGTCGTCGTCGTTGTGTCGCAGTCCTCGTCGTCGTCGTCGTCGTTGTGTCGTTGTCGTTGTCGTCGTCGTTGAAGTCGTTGGAGACGTCGTCGGTGTCGTCGTAGTCGTTGTCGGCGGCGTCGTCGTCGTCGTTGTCGCTGTCGTCGTCGGCGTCGGTGTCGTTGCCAAGTGCCATTTGGTACCCACCGTCACGGTCTTAGGGTAGGAGTTTGGGATGATTGCACGAGCAGTTGAGAGGACAGTTTCAAGTTGAGCAAGTGATTGATTGCACAGGATAGATTGCACCACGTCGATTGCAGCGCATAGTTTGCACCACATGGATCGCAGAACAAGGATTGCACCACATTGACGTCATCACATTTGTTGCACCACGTAGATTGCACGATATAAATTGCACCACATGCATTGCGCAACGTATCTTACCAAACCTTTCTCCGAATTTGCCAAACCATCCCTCATCATCATTTGCCAAACCATCCCTCATCATCACCCACAAACCTTGTTCATCAGAAATCAACAGTTTTCAAACCATCCCTCATCATCATGATGTCTACCGTTGTTGACGTTGCCATGATACCGCGCCCGCCCAAGTCGCCGACTCGCACTGAAGTGCCCACTGGTGCCCAGCGGTCAGCGCCACCGCGGCCGCGTCAGTCGCGCCAAACTAGCTGGCCTCTGCGCGTTAGCATGCGCAGGCTAGCGCGGCCGCCGCAGAGACGCACCAGCCAACACCAAGCACTCATTGCAGTCGCCGCCGCATGGATTTTGCAAACCAAGTTGCGGGTGGGGGGTGGGAAGATTGCGCGGGCGGTGGATTTAACAAGCATTGCGAACAGAAGTTCGTTGCATTGCGTAAACTGCACACCATCGTTTGCTACAAGCACACTGTTTGGGGCCACGCTGGCTATCGTTGTGTGACTGCGCTGCATATGGAGCGAATCATTGCGCAAGCTATGCTGTGTAAGGTACATGGTGTGAGCTATGTTGTGTGAGCCAGGGGAGCTACGAGACGCCACAGGGCGGCAGCGTGACATAACCTCGTCGGCCCTCCCCCCCCGCGCATGAACCGGCCACCAGGCGGCCACGAGCGGCAACGTAGCGAGACCTTGCCAGAATCACCCAGAGCACGAGGCGGCCACGACGCGGCCACGAGCGGGCCGCGTCGTGGCCGCTCGTGGCCGCCTCGTCCGCGTCGTGCCCGGCAAACTGTCGCCACGCTGCCGATGCGGCATCGTGGCCACAGTTCGCCGGACCCACCCAGCGCACGAGGCGGCCACGAGCGGCAGCGTGAAAAATCTTTGCCGGACCCATCTAATTCCCGAGTGACATAAGCAAGAGCCCATGAGTGCAAGCATTGATGTTGGGAAAAAGCGGACGGCGCGTATTTGCGTCCCCCGTCGGAGCCCTCAAAATTGCCTCTCCGGGCCCATTTTTGGGGCGCTCGTGGACGCTCTTGGGGCCGTATCGGGCCCCTCTTGGGGTCGTTGTGGGCCATCTTGGAGCCATCTTGAGGCCTCAACTGCTCAGCGGAAGCGAAAATGCGAGAATGCGAGAAACCCTTTTGATTCGGAAATTGCTCAGCCTCTCGGAGGACTCTTGGGGAAGCTCTGTGGCCACTTCGAGCCGTCTTGAGGCGATCTTGGAGGCTCTTGTAAGTACTCTGGGAGCTATCTTGACCAAAACCGAGCTATCCCCAGCGATCTTGGAGGCCATCTTGGCCTATCTGGGACCCTCTTGGCGCCGTCTTGAGCCACATTGGTCGCTCCAGCCCCTCGCGAAACGCCCCCTCCAGACCCATGAGGGAGGGGGGAGGGGGGGGGAACCCCTCCCCGAAGGGGAAGAACGGGTCAGCAGAACGAGTTTGTTAAACCACTCACGCCTGGACGGCTTGTGGGATTGGTCCCGCCAGACAAAGTCGGGGGCCCGAAAACAGCGCGGTGACCACACCGTGTGGTGGTGGTGAGTCCGTCAGGGTTCGGGGTAACCGCCCGGCTTTGGGATTGGGATCGTTCTCCGAGTATCAGGCGATCGCAAAAATGGATCAAGGGGGCGTGGATTAGCGACGGGTTCCGTTTCCATTGGAAACACGGATTCCCGCCGCCGAACGAGGCGGCACCGGCCGCATTTTGGGAAGGGCACCTCCCCCGATCCATGGATTTGGCGACCGCGCGCCAAAACCCATGGATCGCTAATCCATGTTTGCGCGCCCCCGAGAGTACATGTATTGGGCGACTGGGGACCCAAAGGTCCCAACGCCCTGTGGTCTGACGGGCCATGCGGTGAGGTCTCTGTGGGCTCCGAGGTCACCAGGCGGTCTTCTGCCGCACCGCCCTGGGGCCCCCGAGCCTTGGGGTCCCGTGCCCGCTGCCCTCGGGACCCGACTCTTTCATGTCAGCCTCGGCCGCGGAATCTCGGCCTCGCGCAGAGGGGGGCAGGTGGAGGGGGGACGGCTTCTGAGAAGCGCCCCTGCTTCTTAGAAGCGGCGGGCCTTTTTTGTAGATGCAAGGCCCAGCGCCTTCTAAGAAGCAGCCTCCTAAGAAGCCTTCCCCCCTCCCACTACCCCCTTGTGTGCGCCCCCAAGAATCGTCCGTGCGGTCTCGTCACGTCGTTGGTCTGATCGTCATCGCTCGGACACATTGTCGGCGGCAAGCAGGGGGGGGAAGTGAGAAGGAGAAGGCCTTCTCCAGAGGCGGCGGGACTTCTCAGGAGCCCTCGCGCCTTCCGAAAAGTTGGTTTGCGTCGTCGGGGAAGGCTTAGAACACTTCTCAGAAGGCCGGGGGACTTCCCGAGCCTTCTGAGAAGACCAGCCCCTTCTCACTTGGCCCCCCCCCGGGCGCGCCGCCTAACTCGGCCTTCATGCCGATTGTTGCCCCGCTCCCTCTCCAGAGTCGGAGAAAAACGTACGACTCGAGTGGCGCCTCTGCCGACGCTTTCTGACCTGCCCGTCCCAGCTTTGGACGCTCGAATTCTCGTGGGCTGCAGCCTCAGCTCGCGTCAAGTTTCAGGCCAGGTCCCGCCACTGTTTCTTACAGCCTGGTCGGGCCAGCCCGAGGCCCCCCGCGCCCGAGTCTTACGTATCCCCAGGGGCTCCACCTTGTCGTGCGCCTGCTCGAACTCGAACTCGAGCCCCGGGAAGCCCGCGACCAGTGTGCCGACCTTGGGGCGCTCTTCTCCGATGGAGATGCGCGCAGCTGAGTCTGTCGCGCATGCGAGATTTGTGGTAGCTTCCTTGTTTGTTCTCTCTCTCTCTCTCCATCTCGGTCTCCCTCTCTCTCTCTCTCCCTCTCCCTCTCTCACCCTCTATCTCCCTCTCCTTTTCTCTCTCTCTCTCTCTTTCTAGTTGTATCTCTCTCCATATATATATATACATATACATATATGTAATTATAGATGTTCCCATCCCTCTCTCTCTCCTCTCTCTCTCTCTCGTTCTCTCTCTCTCTCTCATTGTCTGTCTTTTCTCTCTCCCACTCCCACCCTCACTATCCATCTCTCTCTCTCTCTCATTATCTGTCGTCTCTCTCGCTCTCTCTCTCTCTCTCTCTCGTTATCTGCCTTTTGTGTCTCTCTCCGTCTCTCTCTATCAACCTCTATCTTTCTCTCTCACTTTTTATGTGTTTCGGTATATATACACACATATATATATATCATTCGTTCGTTCGCAACACGCCCTCAGGAGGAGCATACGTTGCAGACCAGGCTGGGGAGTAGGGCAGGGGCACATGTTGGCAGCTACGTCTCGCCGCAGAGAGGGAGAGAGACCAACACAGAACGATAGAGAGAGGGGGGACGAAGGGAGGGAGGGACAGAGAGGGAGAGAGAGGGAGGGAAGGAGAGAGAGGGAGAGAGAAAGAGAGAGAGAGAGAAAGAGTGAGATCGCGAGAGACCAAACGAGAAAGAGAGAGAGAGGGGGGAGAGATAGAGGACGACAATCTTAACAACAGGAGGGAGAGAGAGAGAGAGAGAAACAAGAGAGAGAGAGAGAGAGAGCGCGGAGAAACAGGCAGACAGGCAGACAGACAGACAGGCAGACAGGCAGACAGACAGACAGGCAGACAGACAGACAGACAGACAGACAGATGTGCAATGTATAAATGTAGATCTGTAGACAGGGAGGGAGAGAGAGAGAGAGAGAGAGTGTGAGAGCGAGCGAGAATGAGCAAGTAGCGAGAGAGCGAACGCGAGAGAAAGAGAGAGAAAGACTGACAGAGACATTGACAGAGACAGAGCGAGCCAGCCAGCCAGGCAGAAACAGACAGGCAGAGATGGTGGCGGCTGAGGTCCATGGTGGTGGTCTGGCCTTGGCCAGCCTCCCATAGTCAAAGCCCTCGCCTAGGTTTAAGCACGTTGGTTGGGAGAGTCCACAGAGGAACGTGCAGCTCGGCTTCGGACATCGACTGGGTAAGCTTACACGTGGCTGCTTGACGCTGCGGTGGTGGAGGCATGCCCTGATCGATAAGCAGGCCGCAGCCTGGGAAAGCCTACGCGTCGAGAGGCGCGGGAGGCGCGCATCCAAGGAAAGATAGGGAGAGGAGAGAGAGAGAGAGAGAGAGAGAACGAGGGCCAGAATGCGCGCAGCGTGCTCGAGCAAGAGCGGCTCGAAGGGAAGACCTCAGTGTGGCTGCTCTGCTGGGACGTGCTCTGGGGCATGGTCGGCTTCTGCCTCACCCACGAGGTCCCCGAGGCCCCGGGCTCCGTTTCGCTCCGCCCCTGCCGTTCCACGGCCCGGCCAGCTCGGCCATGCAAGCCGATGTCTGCGCGCGGTGCGTATCGATTGGTTCGACTGCGCAGGGTCTACTTCAATCCGATCGATCCGGTTCGATGTCGATTCGGGCTGGGCCGATCCGATCGGGTCGACGTATTCCGACGACCCGATGCGGCCCGATGCTTGCACCGCGCCGTCGTGCATCCTGGCCGATCCGATCCGATTCGGTCTCGATTCCGTACCGATGTAGCCCGATCCGATGCGCGTGTCGATTCGATCCGATGTGCCGGCTCGATTTTTGACCCATCCTGCCACGGCGACTCCTGCCACCCGACCGATGCGAGCCGATTCGGCCGAGACGGGGTCTTGTCGGCCGGGCTTCGTTGCGGTCGATTCGGCTCATCCAGGGGGGGAAGCCCCGAGGGACGCCTGCCCGTGCTGAGCTAGCTGGCCTGGCTGTTGGAGCCCAGCTCCGCGAGCCAGTGGCTCGGGAGGAGGAGGCAAGGCGTGAATCGAGCAGCGGGGATCGCCAGACGGGTACGAGATGGGACGGACACTTGGGGCAGCAGGGATAGAACACGCCAGCATGAGAGCGCAGGGCTGAGGCCCGAGCCCCAGAAGAGCGGAGGGGCGGTATCAGAGCACTCCCATGCCAACCTATCTTAGCTACCACGCGGCGCAAGTCCAAAGCCAGTGCGGGATCTGGCTCCTTGGCCGCTCCCGTGAACTGGAAGATCCTCCGCCGAGGCGATCCCTGTCCCCATGCTTGGTATCGCCTCATCTAGATGCCGATCTTAGGGGTTTCCTCAGTTTCTGCTGGCCTCCCTCAGACTGTCATCGCATTTTGGCCTGTCGATCTCAGGGATGCGGAGAAGCTTCAGGCTGGTGAGGGGAGGTGGGTCGACCCCCCATCGCCCACGGATCGCCCAGAGAGGCCCGATAGCCGCCCACCACGCCCAGAGACGTGCTGATTCGCTGTCGGGGACGTATCGCCACCCCCCCTGAGCCACGACGACGACGACGACGACGACGACGACGACGACGACGACGACGACGACGACGACGACGACGACGACGACGACGACGCCGCCGCCGCCGCCGCCGCCGCCGCCGCCGCCGCCGCCGCCGGCAGCTCCCCTCACCCCCTCCCGCCCGCGCCGGCACCACGCCCCGCCCTCCGCACTCCAATTTCGCCGCCCTCTCAAGAGCCAGGAGCTCGCCTTCCCCCCCCCCTCTCTTCGGCCCAAAGCCCCTCCAAGATTCCAGACCTCCGATCTTGGGGCGCAGGGTACCAATTTCATTTTTTTGGCCTCGAATGACAGGGCGCAGAGTTCTAGGCCCCAGGTCTCTCCAAGAATGGATATCTGGGGCGAAAATTGGGCCCAGGGAAGGCGTCAGGACCTGTGGGGCCGCGCGTTGCAAAACACGTCGTTGGATCTGTCTGGGATCGTCTCGCCCATCCCAGACCCCCTCGCGCTGCTCAAAAAAATCACGACGCGAGGTTTCTCGTTATTTTTCAGCATCTCTGGGGGCCCTTCCCGGGCCCCCGGGACCGTCGAAACACGACTCAGCGGACCCCCCCGGAGATCTTGGCTCCTTGGAGATTTGGGCCCCTTCCCGAGGGCCGGCGTTCCATCCCGAGTCGCGGTATTCGACGGGGTCCCCGGGCGCGGCGGGGGGCCCGGAGGGGCCCGAAGTGCCGCAAACCTCCCGTCGCAAGTTCTCCACAGCGAGTGGAGGTGGGGGCACAGTTAGGTCAAGCATGTCCTCCTACAGACGGGCGTTGTACCGAAACAATAAAAATAGCCGAAAGGGCACAACAAAAAGTCGCCCCAAGGCTATCTTTCTGTTCTGGAATCTTCCCCCGGTAGGGGGGACATGCCCGACTTCAGGGTGCAGTGGAGGCGCTGGAGCAATGAAGCAGGAGCGAAAGAAGGACGTACACGTACATGAATCCACGCTGGTTTCGAGAGAACGCGGGGCGAAAAATGTTCGTACAACGCGGCCAGTCTCGCGGATCGAGGAGCCGCGTTCATGTACATAGCTGGGCGCGTACGTCCTTTGTGGGCTTTCCGTACAGTGAGCAGGAGCCACGCCTGGGCTCCGCAGAGGCCCTGACGCCGGGGCCACCCCTCCGACGTGGCTCGGGGAGCCTGCTCGGGCCCGAGGCCCGCCGTGGTCGGAGAGCTGCCCCCCGCGTTCCTTGTCCTGGCGCCCGGGACGGCAGCGCGTCGACTGCAGCTTTCAGTCGGGCGTGTCCCCGTACCAGGGGAAGATCCCAAGATAGTCCCCAAGAAGTAGTCTGGGGACTAATGGCCGCGCGTGCCCGCAGCGCCACGGTCGGCCACGCGTGAGAGTCAAGCAGTGGCGAAGCGTCCCGTCTCGCCGATGGGCCCACCAAGGAAGGTTCGAAGAACCTTTTGTGATTTGCACGGGATATTCTGAGGACAGTTCTGGCTGAGCCTGTCTTTCTTAAATTAGCACATCGGGTGTGTGTTCTAAGAGCACTGCGTTTGTTCTTAGAACATGTCTGGGTTCCAAGAATATGTCGTGGTAGGCCTATAGGAATGCAAGGACGGTCGGTCCCTGCTCAAAAGAGTGGCCCTTCGCCGGAGAAACCTTTGGTGCGGGCTCATCGGGGCCCCCCGATCGCCAAGCGCGATGTGATGGCGGTTGCCTGCGCGCTTGGATTTGGCCACCGTGCGCGCCTTCAGACCGCGCACCAAAGGTCACTATTGCCCAGGGTCACTCTTGCGTGGAGCCCACGCAGGCGTTGATCGAGATGTTCGCGTCGACGTTGAGCTCGCTGCGCAACTCCCACCACCAGCTCTTCACGCCGGTCCGCGCGCCGCCGGCGCGGCGTCCGTCGGGGACAGCTGCAGAGGGGGTGGGTGTGCACGACTTGGTGGCAGAGGTCGCCTCCATCTCTAAAACCTCGCCCGAGGAGACTGCGCCCTGGAAAGAGCACTCTGGGCACCAGTTCAGTTGACGCACCTAGTTGACGAACCGAGATCAGGCACCGAGTTGAAGTAATTACCGAATTGACGTACCGATGTTAGTTGACGTACCGATGTTAGTTGACGTAATTACTGAGTTGACGTACCGATGCTAGTTGACGTAATTACCGAGTTGATGAACCGAGTTGATGTGCAGATCTTCGTTGACGCGGGGGGTCTCGAAAGACTTGTCCCCCTGACAAACCCAAGCGTTAGCCAAAGTGGGGGTTAGGGTGGGGTCCCCTTTGTTTTTCCAGACACCACCGTTCTAAACTCGTATAGGCGCACCCAAAACAACCATATCCGAAACGGCTGCGCCCAAAACGACCACCCTAAACTCGCCCAGGCATGCTCAAACAAACTACAATGTAGGATGCCATCGTGCGCTCCTAACGCACGCCCAACGACACCACACGCTGGCCTTCGGCACGCAGGCCGTATTTGGCCTCCCAGAACTCGGAAACGAATCAAGAGGAACCCAAGGTCTGGGAACGAACCCAGCTGGACGCTCCTCCTCCTCCTCCTCCTCATTCCTCCTCCTCCTACCTCCTCCTCCTCCTCCTCCTTCTCCTCCGTCCTCCTCCTCTTCCTCCTCTTCCTCCTCCTCCTCCCACCTCCTCCTTCCTCCTCATACCTCCTCCTCCTCCTCATCCTCCTCCTCCGCCTCATCCTCCCTCCTCCTCCTCCTCCTCCTCCTCCTCCTCCTCCTCCTCCTCCTCCTCCTCCTCCTCCTACCTCCTCCTCCTCCTCCTCCTCCTCCTCCTCCTCCTCAAGTGCATGCACGATGTGCCATTCGAACTTTCGCCGCACAGCCGGCGGCTAAAGTGGCTGGACTTGACAGTGGACCTTGACTCGTTGATGATCGACTTGTTCCCAAAGGCATTCTCCACGGCACCTGCGTGGGCCTCCAGCCCGAGTGCCCTCCGAGCGTACGTGCTGTCCCGGGTGGCCCGATGGAGGGAGGTAGGCATGTGCCTAGATCAGGTGATCCACCATTCTGCGCGATTGGTTGTGGATTTGAAGGCGTGCGGATGGGCACCGCATCACTTCAGACACGTGTGGTTTTCAGTGAGAGGGTGCCAGGCTTCCATGGAGATGGACGTGGCCAGGCTCTCGCTGCGAGTCGCGGCAGGTCTTCCGCTGCAGTAGCCGCTGCTCCATGCGATTTTCAAGGAGGGCGCCAGTTCTGCGTTTCCCGCCCCTTCTTGTCGACCCCCCCCATCCCCGCAAAGAGAAAGACGTTCTTTTACCCCCCCCAAGCACTGTAGCATGAACCTGTCGCCGTTGCTTGCTCGAAGAGCGCCTCAGCGGCGCCATCCATATTGTATCACCGAGCCCTCCGGAGAGCAGGCAGTGCTCAAACAGTACTGGCTCGGGCTGCATTTGTGCTAGTCGCAAAAAAGAGCGATCGACACCATCGTCACACATCGCTTGATAGTAACAGTCCTCCTTCCACCTCCCTCCTCCTCCTCCTTACACCCTGGCCTGACCCGCCCGACTGGCCCAGGCCGTTTCAAACGCGGTCCCAGAGGTCACCCAGAGGGCCCCTCTTCCTCCTCCTCCTTCTCCCTCCTCCTCCTCCTCCGACCATGATGTCCCCAGGCTGCCCTCCGGGAATATGGTTGCCACCGCCCGTTGACGGCGGGGGAAGAGGTCGATTGCGGCCCGCCCGCGGTCGTTTCGAGCGGCTTTTCCTCCAGTGCCCCCGCCCGCCTCGGCGTCCCCCCGATCCGCCACAATATCTCTCTCTCTCTCTCTCTCTCTCTATATATATATATACATATATATATGTACACACACAGACCATCTGGTGGATTATTCCTGGGCCTCAGGGGAGGGTGGCGGTGTAGAAACCCACCTGGGAGCCAGCGAGTTCGTTGCACACCCGCCCTCCCAGAAGATGCACACACAATTTGTCGGAGGGCGTCTGCGTGTATCTATCATCGTGGCGTAGAGGGGCTTTGGTTCTCGGGCCTGTCCTTGGATCTGGGCCAGGGAGCCTGCTCGAAGCCGAGGCTCGCCGTGGTCAGCCAAGCCCCTTTGCTCGTCACCCGGCGTGCGTCCATTCTGGTAGCACGGGGAACGTACAGTAGGGACGCGCATCGGGACGCCGAGTTGTTTTCGCCAGGGTGCCATGGGTTTCTTCGCTCCGCGCGCTGCGCGGTGACTGCGCTGCCGCTTAAGGGGCTGCTGCGCTCAGGGTGCTTTGGGTTCCCCCCGCCACCTCGTCCAGGGCTCGGATGCGGAACGAGTGCGAAGCAAGGCTAAGGTCTGCTATTCCTCGGGAGCGAGTCGGCGCCGCGCCTCGGGAGCCAGACCTCTTTCCACACGTGGCATGTAACCGCTAAAGGTCTTTAGTTGTGGTCCCCCCTATTCTTTCGGCGTTGATGAGGACTCGTCCTGAAACCTCCTCCTCCCTCCTCCTGCTCCTCTGCCTCCTCCTCCTCCTGCTGCAGTCGTAGTCGTACTCAAAGTAGTCGTAGTCGTAGTCGTAGTCGTAGTCGTAGTCGTCGTAGTAGTCGTAGTAGTAGTAATAGTAGTAGTAGTAGTAGTAGTAGTAGTAGTAGTAGTAGTAGTAGTAGTAGTAGTCGTAGCAGCAGTAGTAGTCGTCGTCGTAGTAGTAGTAGTAGTAGTAGTCGTCGTAGTAGTAGTAGTAGTAGTAGTAGTAGTAGTAGTAGTAGTAGTAGTATTAGTAGTCGTAGTAGTAGTAGTAGTAGTAGTAGTAGCAGTCGTAGTAGTAGTAGTAGTAGTAGTAGTAGCAGTAGTGGTAGTAGTAGTA